GCTTTAAATAATGGATGATATGAGTAGTAGATAAATATAATAGTTGGATAATGAGGAAGAAGCTTTCATCTCAATTCTTACTTTTGGCTTTTGAACCAAAAAAATAAAGGAATCGAATAGAAAACATCTCCTACTCATATTTTCATGTCCGGAAGAAAGCTATTTTCCTAGAAATACATGGAAATAAGAGTAATCATCACAGTGCGGAAGGTTCTGAGCTGTGTATATCATAACAAATAGGGGCCGGGGGCCAACTAGGGATGGCAAATGGATGGTTTTGGTTGGGTTTTGGTTGGGTCATAAATGGGTGGGCACATTTATGACCACTTAACCATTTATGACCCATTTAGCACTTGCTAAATGGGTTGGTTCTCATCCACCCATTTACTAAATGGGTGGTTCATGGGTAACCCAATAATAGGGATGACAAATGGATGGTTTTGGTTGGGTTTTGGTTGGGTCATAAATGGGTGGGCACATTTATGACCACTTAACCATTTATGACCCATTTAGCACTTGCTAAATGGGTTGGTTCTCATCCACCCATTTACTAAATGGGTGGTTCATGGGTAACCCAATAACCCATTTAGTTATGATTATGATGCTTCTATATATATATGTAAGTTTCAGGGATCTACTTGCAAACTTTCAGGGGTTTTTGGCAAACTTTCAGGGGGGTTTTCTGCAAACTTTTAGGGGGTTTTCTGTAAACTTTTAGGGGTTTTTTGTAAACTTTCAGGGGGTTTTCCGCAAAATTTTAGGGGGTTTTCTGTAAACTTTCAGGGGGGTTTTGCAAACTTTCAGGGGGTTTTCTGCAAATTTTCAGGGGGTTTTTTGTAAACTTTCAGGGGGGTTTCTGTAACCTTTCAGGGGGTTTTCTGCAAACTTTCAGGGGGGTTTTTTGCAAACTTTTAGGGGGTTTTCTGTAAACTTTTAGGGGGCTTTCTGCAAACTTTTAGGGGGTTTCTGCAAACTTTCAAGGGGTTTTTTGCAAACTAGGGGGTTTCAGTAAACTTTCAGGGGGTTTTTTGCAAACTTTTAGGGGGGTTTCTACAAACTTTCAGGGGTTTTATGTAAACTTTCAGGGGTTTTTTTGTAAACTTTCAGGGTGTTTTCTGTAAACTTTTAGGGGGTTTTCTGCAAACTTATAGGAGATTTTCTACAAACTTTCAGGGGGTTTTCTATAAATATTTTTTTCTCAATTGAATCGATTACTTCAGAAAATTAGGACAGAATTGTGAGGAAAAGAAGCAAATGATGACGGGGCTTAGCAAAAGAAGAGATGGACTCGTAACAAGTCTAGTTTACTACCTGCTCGGTTATTTAAAAAAAGCCCTT